AAATAAAGACTGCCCCATCCCTTCTCCTTCAACAACTTTTGCTATACCACCTTTCTACAGATGCAGAGAAAACTTGCCTGTGTGTGGCTTGGAGCCTTTGCAGAAAATAGCATCCATTATTCAAAGGATGAGTAACAGCCCACACATTACATGTTGTGTTTCCTTTTTTTTTTGTTAAAAAATACCTGAAAGAAAGGCTAGCAACTTCTTTGCAGTGAACACCCAAGGAGAACTAGAAAAATTCCCAGGTTATGGATAATTTTGTGTTTTGCAGCTTCCCAAAACTCAGGTATTTTTCACAGACACATGATATTCTCTTGGAAAATCTGTGCCCTGCCTGTCATCTCAGCAATAACTATGTGAAATTGATATAATTTTCTTTAACTTCATCATCTACCAACTTCTGAATAGCAGCAGTGAAGGTAAAAAATGCCACCAATTTTCCCTCAGTAGTTGCAAAAGCTGTGAATGTGCTGCTCTGACACCAAAGCTCCCAGGACTTGAAAAATACTTGGCGCTTTGCAAGAGTCTGCATTCAGCCAGTTGTCGCAAATAATTTCTGAGAAGCTCACATTTTCTGATTAAACCACTTTTCCTTGGCAAACTTCACTGGCCAACTGCAATGGTAACAGCCTGTCTGCCATTATTTCATATTAGGGATAGAGAAAGATGCTTCAGGAAACGCAGCTTTTATTGTCTTAAAAGCTGGAAGGATTCACATAACACTACTCAGGAAAAATTATAAGTGACTTCTAGGACAAAGACTCCTTACAGACAGTGGGTTGAAGAGCAGAAGTCACTTCATCTCTTGCTTTCAGAGTTTCAGCCAAAGCCAAACTGCAATACAGATGTTCCCAGGCACTCAGCTAGGGGCTTTACTAACAGAGGATAGGAGGTGAAAGACCACTGTGGCATCAGAGGAAAGTGCAGATGGGAGCCACAGAGAGAGAGGATGAGAGACTTATCTCTCTTCAGAGTGGGTATTTTTGAAAGACAACTAACTGGAGCCCAGATGTGAGTTTTTAGTTGTCTTAAGAAGCTGGGTGAGGCATAACCTGTTATCTGGAGAGATGACGGTAATAGCTAGCAATAAAATAAACCAGTCAAAGTACTCCATTTTGTCTCCCACAAAGGATGTTTCATTTTTATTTCTTGGTTATGGGTAGTTCTGTTTGATCAGCTTGAATCTGGACTTGAATGAACGTTTTACAGTTGTGGAGAACTGCAGAGGTTTGAGTTTTCACTATTTTAATCTAATTCTTTCTTTTTAACCTTAGGCTTACATAAAAGCACCTACATAGAAAGTTCATAATACAGGTTATTTGTATTAAATATTTCTGACAGGAAAATCCCAAAATGATTCACAACATCTTCCCACTAGCTTTCTCTCACACTTTTTGACAGCCATGGAGTGAAATATGTCTCTCTCTGTCAGTAATTTAAGTAAAATGGCACTATTTTATCTACTCCCATCTCTAGTCAATTGAGTCTCTTTTCAGAGTATGTCCCTGATTTCAAGTGTCTAGTCTGTACCTACTAAGAAAGTCTTGTTGGTTCCTATACCATCGTGCTGATCAGGTGCAGTAATTTTTTTCTGTTATTGACATTTTCAAGCTCATTTTTTAACCTCAAAGGAGATTACACCAAGAATGAAATACTGGCCAATACCTGTAAACCCAAAATATATTGCTTAGGGGAATTTTTCTTCTCTGCAGAAAACAGACTTAGTACATTTTCTCAAAATCTCTTGATCCTTTCTATGTGCAGCTCTTTTGAAGTACACAAACGTGATGCTGTTTACGTTACTACAGATGGGTGTTAAGGTGCCTTTTATGTTCCAAATCAAAATTCAGTGAGATTTAACAATTTGTGAACAGCTGCAAATCAAGTATGTAAGGTCGGCTTTCTGACTCTGTTGCTAGGGAAAGAAATAAAATATAAAAAATACAAACAAATAAGAATAAAAGGCTGTGAAAGGTGATGTGCTTTGCTAACATCTTCCTTGTTTGTTTAAGGATTTATCTATTCTGATAAAGGAACTCCTAAGAAAGTATGATAAATGGAAAAGATCTAAGTGTGAACAGAAATCTGGTTCAGTTTTCCAAAATTTGTGTGAATGATGTAACTACTTACCCGACTTCTAAAATAACTAATTTCAGAGTGAAATGGTCACAACTGATCTGTGTAGTATATATAGAAAGAAAAAGAGATACTTACTTTTGAGTTATGAAAGCTTCTGCAAAGGATTGGATTGTGAAGAGAGAATTTGCAGGACCAGTTGGTGTGAACTTGCTGCACTCGTCAGAAAGATATATCTCCAGGACAAGTCCTGGCTGATGATGTGCAGTAAGGACTTGCTTCTATGGGACAGGGAATGGGAAGGCCTTTGTGGAGAGGCTGGTGGAGACCCCTCATGTTTAGGGATCCTCATTACCCCACAACCAACCATGGGTCTAAGTAGGACATGTACAGGGGGACTGTGCCAGCCTCGTTCCCCTGTCAGACCAGGCCAGGGAAATCAGGCAGCATATATGGTAGCATTGGTACTTGCCACACTTGTGGAAGACCTTTTTCACGCACAGAACATTACAGCAGATCTCCATGACTGCTGAAATTGTCGAAAATTACTTGATCTCTGCACTTAATTTCTATGATCTCATCCTGAGAAGGTCTTGCTCACACATGGCACAACCCTTGTAAGAGTGTAAAAACTGAGTGGACATCACTAAGATTTGACCTTCCAAAGCAGGAAGCTTACATTTTGCAAAACTGATGTTTGAGATGTTACACTCCTTTACCCAGCCATGAAAGTTACTCCTCCAGCTCTTCTGATTCATAGTAAGGAGCTGCTGTCTTGGCTCAAACTGACACGTTTAGTCAATTTAGTGTCAAATTTAGTCTGACACACCGCACATACTCTGGACATGAGAATCAGGCCTCTATTTTACATCCATGGGGTTTTCACTGTTTTACAGGAACTTGAAAAGTTTTCCTTGGAGGTCTGATGTTGTTACTGCAGGCAAACACCTTTACTTGCCAGTGAATGAGATAGTAGAAGGGATCCTTTTTTTGTTTTTTTTTTTCTCCTGTGTACACTTAAAGAAGGGTAAAATCTGCTCTTGTCAAAACAAATAGAAGGTTTATAACTGAGGTGGCTGGAATCAAGGTTTGCCTAAACTTGTGGCCTCAGAAATTGGCTATACTTTCTCCATTCCTCTGGTTTCTAAACAGAAGTGCAATTTAGAAGGTTCAAAATTGTGAACCTAAGATAGGCAGGACATTTAGATATGGCAATGCAAGATACTGAAAAGCACACATTTTCAGAAGGTTTCCACGAACACAAGAAACTGCTTTAAAATCTCTCTAAAATGTTGATTTCTGCAAGGAAAGAGACTAGGCTATGTGACTCAAAACTTCTTGTGATAGCTGCTTCAAGACTATTTCAAAATATGGCTGCTAATTTTCTTGCAAAACTAAGGCTCTGGCTTAGGTAGGCCCAGGTACAAGATGATCTGGGATGTACGTGCAGTGTCTCCTTGGAAAAGATTTGGGAACTGTTCCAGTCCATTTGCCCAGTCACTGCAGATAAAACTGTGACTTACAAAATACAGCACCTTCCCATCAGACAGACCTCACTTATTGCACGTTTTGACCCATCCACTTTGACTTGACCTCTAGAGCCCAGACAGCTTAGGCATACTCTTGTCCTCCCAGCCTGGATCAGTCACAGACCACTAACCATAACTCCTCAATTTCTTGCATGCCTGTGTACTTCTTCTGTGAAGAAATCATGGAAGCCTAATCTGCAAGACTTGGAAGAGAAGGAAAAAAAGTTAACCTTTGTGCAAGGAAAAGCTTGCCAAGCTCAGAATAACAGCTCATTCTGGGAGCTGGTCTAATGTTCTTATAATAGGTTGTAATTTTTTATTCCCGAGATGGATAAGCTGGTAGGTAGCAATGTGAGCACACTGCCAGATGGTACTTGTGAGCTGATGCTGCTTGTCAGCCAGGCAAAGGCATGTCACGAGTGCTGCTGTTTTGCAGCTGACAGGCAGCATCTCACATCCCTGGGTGCAGGAATCCCGTGAATATTAGTTACCAATTTTCCGCAGGGCCTCCCCCACTGAGAACTCCTGGGCTCCTGCAGAAAATGAGGCTGCTGCCCCTCCACAAAACCTCTGTAGAGGCTCGGTGCTTCCAGCTCTGCTCCAGGCGCGTGCAGCAGTTTGAATGTCTTCATCCAACTCATATCCTAAAGGTTCGTCCCGTTATCCGTCACCCACGGATCTACCCCTACCAGGAATCACAGAAGACGAGCATTCTAAAGTCAGGGCTGGACTGTTGTAAGGCTTTGTGCTCCTTGACCCACCCCTCAACATGAGACCGCATTGTTTTGGTTTCCTCCCATCCTTCCCCCCCCTTTTATTCCTGCACACTCAGGTGACATTTTCCAACTGTTCCTCGCTGTTTGGACATTCACACCGCCTGGGATGCCCCGGTGGGACCCAGCCCTCACCGCACGGGCCAGGGCCGGCGTGAGAAGCCCGCAGGGAGACCCATGGCCCCCGCTCGCCCCGCCTGCGGGGGCAACCGGCTACAGCCCCGATCCCCGCTCTGGTCTCCCCGGCGCGGGGCGCGAACCCCGTCCCTTCCCGGGAGCGGCTGCGATCCCGCCGCCCGTGCCGGCCGGTCGATCGGGCTTTCCCTTTCCCGAGAAACCCTGCCCCTGCCCGCGGCCTGGCTCAGCCCCAGCCCCCCCCGCACACGCCGCTCCCGCCGCCGCCCGCGCCTGCTCCGGGAGGAAAGAAGGGGCAGTTGCGGCGGCCAGAGCGGGAACACGCCTTCGCCCTCCCCGGCCCGAGCCCCCCGGGCCCTGCCGCCCACGCGAGGCGCGGCCAGCTGCACGCGCCGCCGCGCCCCGCATGAAGCCGAAGTAGCGGCGGCGGCGCCTTCTGCAAGCCGCCGCCGCCGCCCGCCCCGCCGCGGCGCGCCGGGCCGCGATGCCGAACAGAAGGCGCAAGGGAAGAAGAACAAGCCGCGCCAACAGCCAGCGGCGACGAGCAGAAACGGGCGGCGGCGGCGGCGACCGCGCGCGGCGGGCGGCGTGCCCAGGTGGCGACCGGAGCGGCGGCCGCGGCGCGGCGGCGGCGGTCGCGGGCAGCGGATCGGCGCGCGGCGGCGCTGGCGCCCGAGACGGTCAAGAGCGGTGTCGCAGGGCCGCGGCCCCGCGGCCTCCGCGGTGGCCAGGCGGCGCGGACCCGGAGTGCGGCGCGTGGGAACCGCGGAGCGGGGGCGCGCCCGGCGCGAGGGGACGTGCGGCGGGTGCCCGGGGCGGAGGGCGGTGTCGACCCCCCTGCGGCCGGTGCTGCCGGCCGGGATCTTCCCCGGAACGCGCGCGGGGCGGGGCTGCGCCGCCGGGTTGTCCCCGCCGGTTGTCCTGTGAAGCGCCCCGCTGCGCCACGTTGCCGTAGCCTGTGGGCGGCGGGCGCCCGGCCGCGGGAAACCGTCCGCGGCAGAGCGCATCCCCGGCGGCGGAGGCGCACGCCTGCCGGCATCGGCCGCGGCTCGTCGGATTCGGTGCTCAGTTGAAAAATCCCCGCTTTATTTCATCACGATTGAAAATGGAGTCCTGCCTTTCGGTCCGTTTCGTTTGCCGTTGTACAGCAGTTGGGTTTGTCAGGGTAACGTACTCACTTTTTCATCAACCATTTTATGGTGCTTTTGGTCGGTGGGTTGAGTTTTGGTTCGGAGCAATTTTGGTAAGGTGTTTTCTTGCAGAAACTTGCGTTGCTATTCGTGTTTGTTTTACTGTAAAAGGATACGTCAGGCTAAAACTAAAGGCAGGCAAGGATTTTATTACACTTTTTGCTGAGCCAAAAAAACTCCACCTCTTAGGTCTGCTGCTAGGTTTACAAACTGTGGCGTGGAGTCCCTACTCTTGACTTTTTTCCTTTCCCAAGTTGGATGTCAGCTTCTTACTCTTGATGCTTTACAAAAAGTGAGAGGGTAGCTACAATTGGTTCTATGCTTTGTGGTGGTAGTTTTGCCTTGGCTGCTTTTATGTGGTGGTAGTTTTGCCTTGGCTGCTTTTAGCCACAAAGGCAGTTTCAAGAGCCATAGTTTGGTTTTCAAGATGTCTGATTCCTGTGTATTATTTAATGGAAACTTTTCCTTGGAAATAGTAGCAATTAATTACGAATCACTTCAGCTTACAGGGTGTTTGCCAGACTGCTTTTGTAAGAGTATTACTTACTCCAGAGAATCATGGAGAATGCTTAGAATTTCCTTTTTCGGTTTGTTTTGGTCTTTTTCTTTACTGTTTGCTTTAAGTGAGTGAACAACGGGGGGAAAAAAAGAAAAAGAAAGGTTACCAGGAGTTAGAGAATTTCTAGAGCATTTTTATCATGACTTCATTATGGTGTCCAACATTCACTTTGCAGGTGATGTCTCATACATGGCACCGCTGGCTTTCATTTAGGTGGGGAAAAGCAGTGTTTGGAAATTTTTTTGCTCAAGCACAAGTGGCAGCAGAGGTGCATTTCTGGTGTGGCTTTTTGCCTGTGGATAATGAGATGGTGTTCCATCTGCAGATGCCCCAGAAGGTGATGCCACTGAACACTGGGTGGTAGTCCACCTCTCTAGCTGGACAGGTTGTTAGTCTTCTTCAGCTGTGAGACTGTGTGTGCCAGGTGCCTGACGTATCCTTCCTCTGTGCTGGCCAGCTTCCTCGGAAGTTGAGACTTGCCTGTTTGAGAGCTAACCTGAGGTGCTCCTTTATTCTCTCTCCCTGCTTCTGTATGACTTCAGTGTTCAGAAACATCCTTGACTATTTTGCCAAGTCCCTCCCCTCCCCGTTTTTTCCCCCCTCACAACAGATGTACAACATCAGCTTTGACATTTGCTGTAAGTGCCTGGTCAGCACACCTGATCCTTGCCTTGACAGGATCATTGCATCTACTCGTACCTTTCTTTTCAGATAATCATAAAGGCTGGAGGAGTAGATGTGGTTGCTAGCTTTATTTTACACTGGCTACTACCCATCAGATAATCCTGAGCTGTAAGTTTCGTGAATTGTATTCTCACTGGTAAGTCCAAAGCTTTCAACAGTTTTGGTTCAGGAGATGAAAGGAGAAACTGTTCCTGACATGCTACAGAATTAGGAATCTGGCTCTCATATGCGAGGAAAAGATTAGATGATGATAATGGATTCCCTGAAGTCTTCAAAACCGATGAATCTGAAATGAAACTCTGTACTGTAGCCATGGCCTTGGAGACAACTAGCCCGTTACTAGACTCAAGACATTTGTAAGAGGCTGTTCACTTTAGGGTTGCCTGATCACTAAGCAGTTTATGGAGGATGTGGCCTACTGCAGTGAGTGGTGAGGTTAACAGAGTTCTGTACACAATCAAGCCTCACTTATTCATGGGAGACTATCTGGGTTGCGGATTAAGTGTGCTGGGTGCAGGGAAGCTCTTCATCGTGCTGCTTTTGGATTGTGCAGCTTCATGCTGTGACTCCTGCTACCCAGGTTCACTGGTGCTGTGGATCCCCAGGCTCATTCTTCTCTCCTGCATTGTCACCATATGCTGTTCTAGAGTATTTTGCATATGCCTGGTCTCATCGGTCTCCTACTCTATCTTTACCCTGGAAAAGCAAGGGATGGTCATAATAACATAACCTGTTTTCTTTCATTAATGTGACAAGACAGAAGTATGCAGAGATGAAAGCATCAGATTTAATAATTGAAAATGTCTGTGCAAACCTTGGCTTTGCATCATGGTGTCAGTATGACAGTCTAATTATGCAGTCACATCAGGACTCTGCTTCACTCACAAAGAAATAGTGATTCGGATATGGGTTTTTTTAAGTTTTCAGAGTTCATTCTATGTTCCATGTATTATTTCTGCCCCCACCCATGTGCCATAATGAAACAGAATTTTCTAATTTTCTCTGGGCTTATCCATGCAACTCTGACTAGTGGTGCTATGTAGTAGAGAACTGCTGTTACAGCACCCCTTTACGGTGGAAAGTTGTTCCCTTTTACTTTTTGATAAATTTTGCTTCAATCCCCGCACAATTTTCCCTCAAACTATCATTCAGTTTTTGGCATGATATCTGAGAAATACCAGCTTTTCCCTTGCCCCAAGAGGGCCTCTGTTTATGCTTTTTTGTTGTTGTTGTTGTGATGTTTTAATTTTTGCGTGTTCAGAAATCAAATTGTGCTCGAAGGGTTCTACAGTCGTACGTGGGAATCAGGAAGACAGAGAGCATAACCACTGACAGATGTGATGGCTTTTCTCCATCTTGCGCTGTGATTTCTTAGCAGGTATTGGGATGATGCCTAGAAAGAGGATTCACATTCTGTGGCTGTGCTTTTCATTCCTCTCCCTTCAGTTAGACCAAGCAGGAAATCTGTATATAATAGAGTAATCTTTCTTGATGAAAGGAGTGGTCATTTTCTGCATTGAATGAGGCACAGGTTGTGGGAGAGAGAAGTGTGGGGTGTGGGTAGACTAGTTTAACAGTATCATAGTGTACAGGGACACTGAGATGTGGTGTCACAGAAAGCCTCATTTCTTAGAGTCCTTGTCTTTAGAGTGATTGAATAATGTTTCTAAAATGTTTTTAGTTTTCTTGATGGTTTTCTGGGTTACTTTTCATAACCAAACCAAAAAATCTGAGTGGTTATCATGTAACGTTATGCCAGCAGCTGCATAGGATTGTGCGACCTCATTGACACCAGCATTCCTGATGGCAGTAGTTGGTTCCCTTCATCTGTAGACATAAAGAAGTGTAACATTTTGTGGATACTTTGCCCTGATCAGCAGAAGAGGACAATGATCGATGGGGTTTACTTTCAGGTCTGAGGCTCTGAGTAGCAAATTCCTGTTCTGTTCCTGCCATGCTGAGGCTGGGCACTCCTACACCATCAGCTCCAGCTGTTTTATCCCTTTGTCCTCTGAACTTCTAGCTTTAGTCTCTACATGCTGGTTTCCATTCTTGGTGTCATTGTCCAGTAGACCCAGGTCCTCTTCCTCCACTTAGTGGTTGCTATCTTAGCATCTTGCTGCTTCATCTCCTTGTTCTTGTCACTCTGGTCTCTCCAACACTGGTGCTGTGAAGAGATGAGAGAAAGAAAGAAGCTAGCTCTCCCTACCTGTATTTTATCCTTTAACATGGGGTTAAATAAAGCCAGCTTAATTAAATTCAATGAAAAAGCTGTTCCTGAATTGTTGTTTTAACAGTATACTGGCCACCTGTTTTAAGACCATAGTTTTCCCCTTCTGGTATAGGTCAGCCCTTAAACTGCACAAGTGTCAGAGCTGGAAACTTGGTGGGCTGTCAGGTGGAGCAACCAGTGGTCAGATTTGTGTCAGATTTGAACACTCTTTACCTAAGTTTCACAAATTTTTAAGACTTATGTACTTTCAAATAAAAATGGTAACGTAGAACAAGTGTACGAAGAAGAAAATCAGCACAACAGTAACTAATGTGTTGAAAACTGTGATTGGCCAGCGATTATGATTTACTAAAAACCAGAAATTATATCCTGGAGGTGGGATAGTTAAAGAGGGCCAGAAAATTTGTCAGTGCAATGTTTAATTTAAAAACGTATTTTCAGAGCATGAATTGTAGTAATATTTAAGCCTGGATTAATATTTGCTGTCAAATGTTCCCTGCTGCGTATAACATTCAGTTCCAGTTTGGCACTCTAATGATATTCAGTATTGGCACCTTCTGATTACTTAGCCTGAGGGAGTCCCATTGATATCAGTGAGGCCACCTGGAAAATTAAGTTTCTATTCTGTTGCAGTGACTACAGAATTTAATACCTATTAATTTACTAAAGGGAAATAATTTTGCTTCATAATTCCATTGCATTCGTCTAACTGCAGAAATCAATTGAATGCAAATTTTGCTGTCTCAATGCAAATCAGGCTTGAAAGGACTTTCATGTTAGTTTTAGAATTTTTAAAACTATGCAATTACATGCTTTGGTAGCAAATACAGTTCATGTTCTGCGAATCTTTGCAAATGGAATCATGTCTATGGTATTAATGAATAACACAAATACTGTTCTTTCATGCAAGCACGTACACACCCATTTAAGGTTTTTTTTTAAAGTTATTTGCTATCAAAATGGTTATCAGTGACCTGACAGCATTCTCTGTTCATGTGGTTAGTCATTGCTCAAGTGTAGCACTTTCATGAGTAAGGGTTAGGCTTGATGTTTGTTCTGTTTCATACAAGGAACTACAGTTTTTGAACTGATTCCTTTCTTTGTCTGTACTCATCCCATATCTTACTCCCAGTGATCTAACAAGTAGTGACAAAACAATTTCTAGTCCTTGGAGTCATTTATAAGTTTTCTTCAGCCTCGCTTACAGCCTTGCATATTGAGACATCCTTTGAGATTAAAGTACTTTCATGACTGGTAGGCATCCATCCTTCTCTGCTTTTTTTCCTGCAGCGTGTGTGAGTGAAAAAAATGGAGGTAAACCTTGCATCCAGCTCAGAGTAAAATATTCTGCCAGGGGAGGTTTAGGTTGAATATTAGGAAAAAATTTTTACAGAGAGAGTAATCAGACATTGGAATGGGCTGCCCAGGGAGGTGGTAGATTCACCGTCCCTGGAGGTTTTTAAGATGAGACTGGATGTGGCACTTAGTGCCATGGTCTA